TGTAAAAATAAGGCATTTAAAAAGGAAATGTTTATTACCTAAGTCTATAAATTAATGAGTCAAGGTCAACAAAAAAAAGAGAAAAAAAGGAAAATTTAAAACAAACAAAGATGTAAAAAAAAACTTGTTGTCTCCTTAAATACGGAGCATTTCCACTTCTGTCTCGTCAGTTAAACGCCTTTGTATTCCTTGGAAAAGATTTCTGGTAAAATCCTGATGGATTCTTTCTCATTAATAACAGCAGTTTCCAACTGTTCTAGAGTTTTAGGACTTGGGGTTCGCAGACGTACTCGTTGCTTAAGCGGTCCTAAATGTGTTCGATTGTGTTCAAACCTGGACGTCAAGCTGGCCACACCAAGCACTCAATTCCAGTCTTATTTAGGTAGTCATCCACAATACGCACTTTATGGCTTATGTATTGTATATACATTTGTGAACTTATAGATTTTCATCGCAAACGACGACCAATTCTGTGCGGGCATCCAAGTAAATGCCACTCCAAAACATCAAAGACCCATCATGGAATGTCATCTGCGGAGCCATTCAGCATGATCTTGTTGAAATGAAGCGTTGGGCATTTTCTGAGCTGTGGTTATAAGAGGTCCACGAGGCTATTTTCATTGAGCCTTCTTCTTACAGTCCTGGAGAAAAACGAAACTTTTCGGAATTGTCTTAGCAGATTTCTTATCTCATTTCCCGTAATGCTACGGTTTCGCCGAGTCTGATGACGGATGAAGCTATCATTTCTTCTAAACATTTTCTTTATCGTGCCAACGTTTCGATCTTTATTGAGATCATCTGGCCCTGAAGATGATGTCAATAAATAATGTTTTTCTGAAACCTACATCACACCAGACCGCATCTCACGATTTCTAAATAAAAATTAGTGTAAATTTACAAAAGACGACTTAAGGTTCAAGGTTGTTCAAGTTCTAGCCTTGATTTGTTCCTGGCAAGTTCAGAAATCGCCGCTTCTTTATACTGTTATAAACAAATATTTGGATAAACTTTGCCAAAATAGTTTAAGTCAACAATAAATATTTTTTTGTTGGACATACGTCTGCGATCACCTGGTATGCTTTGTCATTTTCAAAATTTAGAAAAAAAGCACGACTGAAAAAATAACGGATCGGTCACTGAAGTAGGTAAAATTTGGATTGCATCGAGAATAGGCAAGAATGACCGGGAAATGGACCAACTAACAAAGTGACAATTCTGCTACTACGTAAAATTATTGTAAGATAGCAATAGAGAATTATTTTTTCATACAAAATAGAATAAGATTAAGAAACTCAAAAAATTCAAGTAAAGACAGTTTATTATTAGACAGTTACTGACTGAATGTATTTTCTATCCAATTTTTTTTAATATGTCAGAAAGTTTCCAAATTTGAAGATCCTCTATAAATCGAAGAATTTTTAAAAAAGTTTCCCGCCAATTACAATTGTTCAAAATTTGAAACTATTGAATTTTTTTCACTTTACAACCGAAGTCTGAAGATTTTCTAACAATTCGTTAAATTTGACCATGACTTCTATGAATTCCTGTAAATTTATGCGTACGACTAAAGCACTATTAAGCAATAGTCTTTGGCGTTTTTACCAGTCCAAATATTAACTTATTTTGTAAGAAAAGGATCGATAGCTAAAAAGTGGCGGATTGATAGGAATACCAAAAAATGGTAAATTTCAAGGATTTTTTAATATAATGCCTGCATATTAAACTTTGCATTTTATTCAAATGTCGACCATAATTTTTGTCTGTACTGCCTACCATCCTAACACCTTCTAAATAGATTATTACCTACTTTAATTTTACAAATTTGGTATAATACATATATGTTAGGATTGTTCTTTCTTTGTTTTCACAACCATTAAATAAGTTAATAAAGTTTTTTTTTAAATAAATAGACTAATTTTAATACCCAAAAGATTTTTCATTATGTTATTCGAATTTCTCAAAGATTCTGTTTGGAATGTTTTAGATAGGCTAGGTATATAGATTTCTGTTATACTAATCGATACTAGAGGTATATAAGACATAACAAAAAAAATCAGTTTTAGAAAATTATCTGTATCCTATATAGTATGAATTGTTGTTATACGGTCAAAGGCAAACTGGACATAAAAATTTAAAAATTTATATTTTTTATCTTTAAACTGGATAATGCATTTTTGTGTACGATATAATTATTTAAATTTCACATTTCCAATTTGGGATCCAAATTTTTTTTTTTTTTACGAGGATTCTCAACAGCAGAGGTCATATAAACCCTCAGGGTGCCGGTGTTTTTGAAAAAAAGCCCATTTGTAAGTATGTCGGGTTCGAATGCAGGGCCGCCGGATTCGAACCCGGGACTTTACCTTACAGTGACGAGCGTCGTGTCAAAGACTAAACCTTGCGGCCACCGACGCCCCAAAACTTATATCCAAAACTTTAAAACTAATCGAAACAAATGTTTTAACAGTTGAAAATAACAGACAAAATTGGTGATATATTGATTTTGAATGTTTAGTTCATAATAGTTTAAATGACTTAAAAGGCTTGAAATTTACTTTTATGTTTAAAATGTTCAGTTAATTCTAATACGAAACTTTAGTGATTGATGTTTTAAAAACAGCTAAAAAGTTGAGAAAGTGTTTTTTTATTGTAAAAATGATTATTTACAGATTGTGAGATGCAATCTTTAAATAATCATTAAGTACGGTCACTAAATACTACATAGTGTAAAAAAATTTCATTCAATTTTTTCAACATTTTTTCTTATTTTTCCAATATTTTAGTTCCGGGTCAAAAAACGAACGATTCGTTTAAACTAATCGGTACATCAACAGTTAAACCAGCCCAATTTAAAAATAATCTACAATTCACAGTTAATCCAAAAATGTCTGATGAATTTACAGTTAAAATATTATGAAATATGTAGAAACGCTGTTTTTATTTTAAAGTTCGAGATTTAATCTTTGCGAGTTTCATTTGTGGGGGTCAGAAAGTGGAAAATTAATTTCTAACAAGTGATCTAACAGTCGAAAACCTCCCCCGAAAAAAGTTACGATTTCCCTCCAAAATTTATTATCACATTTATAACATTTCTCTGTTTTGTATTTATTGTTGATCCTAGTGAACTATAAAAGGTGGTTGATATATACAGAGCTAAGAAGCTGAGAAGAATAGACCGCATGGGAAATTTGTTTATATGTTCATTTATTTTAAGTAAGCTAAATTCTCACATGTGGGACACTAGAGAAAAAAAAACAATTTTAAGTCAAAGTTTTGATATACAAAAATTTTTGGTGATTCTTTTTTATATCACTAAACCTGAGATGTTGGGATATAGTAGTTTGTAATTAGCCTTATTTTCGTCTTAGTTATTAAAGGGTGAATTCTTCCGCGAAAGGGAAAAAATTTATGTATGGGTAATTAATTCATGATCTACTCACTGAGGGAAAACTGTGATCCGAAGTTGATCAGGTTCGCGTTCCTCATTTTGCCTGATTGAAGCGATGGCGAGAAGCTGCGCGTCGGAAATCTAGCGGCGACTGGAACGAGAAGGGTGCACGCATAGACGTGTGAAGGGTTTTGGCAGGTCTGTCGGCGCCTACGAACACTGGGTCACAAAAAAGTTGACCATTGCTTCCCCGCCTGGCGATGGTAGGGGCGACTTTCCTCCACGGACTAAGCCTCGATTCCGTAGGAGATCGTATTAAAATCAAGTGTGTCCCACTCGAGATCGGATGCCGGGAAATTGCAAAAGCAAATTGGCAAAAGTGGGGAGCATTTGAAGGAATCGGATAATTTGATTGATGGTGGTCAAGGTAGTTAGCTCCGACAACTCTAGGAAGAGAGAACGGCACCTGTCCGAATTTCTTCTCGAGGTCGGTTTACGATCACTTCCTCCAACACAAACCTTTTTTTTAAATCTCATTTATAGTAAAGTCATTTCCTTAATGCAAACTCATTTTTTTATCCAATAATAGAAGCGCAAAGGATACCTGAAAAAAATCACTTAAGTCATGTTCTGAACTTGGTCGTTTTCATAGCAAAGGCCACAAAATTTTCAACTTGCCACATAAAGTACAAAATTTAATTTCTAATTACGTATTTCCAAATACAATTTGAACATTAATGTGTGAAGTTTAGAGACCGATAGTTATCGATTATTTAGAGATCGTGGATGGGGTCTGGTGTGATGTGGATTTATAAAAACATTTTCTTTATGGTGACAACGTTTCGATCTTTATTGAGATCATCTTCAGGGCTCAAAGTGTGTTTTCAGTGTGTGTCGTGTTGAGAGTGTTAGTCAAGTTAGTCACTACTGAGCCCTGAAAATGAATCTGAATATACTGAAAATGATCTCAATATAGATCGAAACGTTGGCACGTCAAAAAAAATGTTTTTCTAAACCCACATCACATCAGACCGCATCTCACGATCTCTAAATAATTAAACATTAATATAAAATGGTTTGCATTATATTCATCTAGGAAATCCCTGATAATTTAAGTACGAGATTTCACAGAAAATATCCATATTCTATTATATAAATTTTCAGAATATTACAACATTCAGTAAATAAGTAAGGAACACTTAGCCAGAGCTTAAAGGATAGTTTATGTTTATGAAAACCAAAAGTTTGTTTTTCAGGTTAATCACTTTTTATACAATTCGAAAGTACAACTTTTACTCAATACTTATGCACAGGAGATATCTTATAGAATAATTTTGGTTTGAAAACCAAAAGCAAGAAATGTATGTGCATTTTTCAGATTAATCTCTGTTTATGAAAACCAAAAATAAGAAATATAATGGATAAATTTTAATTAATACGGTCAATTATGACTACTATATGGATTAATATAAATGATAAAAGAATAATCAATGGGGGGCGTCGGTGGCCGCAACTGTTTAGGCGTTGACACGGCGCTCATCACTGCAAGGTAAAGGTCCCGAGTTCGAATCCAGCGGCCCTGCATACTTACACATACCGATAATACCTCTGCTGTTGCGAACCCTCGTTAAAAAAAAATCTCTGCTTAAACAAATTCGAAATTAAAAGTTTATGAAATATCTATCAAGAGGAAAGACGTTATAGGTTAATTTCTGTTTATGCCTACCGAAAGTAAGTATATTTGGAAAACTTATCCATAAGTAAGATCTTTATGATAATCTGTTAAAAAAATATAAAGAGTAATAAATCCATATCCGTAAGTACTATCTGCATTTAAAATACAAACAAAAATATGAAGTTTAATGTTATCCATTGGTAAGATCTTACATGATAATTCTCTACGCTTATAAAATTCAAAATAAATGACAAACAATTTATAACAAGTTTTATAAATTTAAATAAGTGAGACAGAAATCATTGTCAACCTAGTAGAGCGTTTAGTAAAAAATTATTTTCTATTGATAGGTTGAAAAATTCCAAGATCTCCGTGGTTGAAAACTTTAATTTAGTAAATTATATTGACGTTTCGGACTGCAGGCCCATCATCAGAAACTAAACATAGAGAAATCTCATGGTATAATTCACAACCTTAAGGCACACCCATCAGCAATTTCCAATTTTTTAAATAAAGTATTTATACCTGGACTATGCCAATGATACATATGTATTATATTTCCGCCCCTTTTATAAATACTTTTATTTAAAAAATTGGAAATTACTGATGGGTGTAACTTAAGATTGTGAATTATACCATGAGATTTCTGTATGTTTAGTTTCTGATGTTCCGAAACGCCAGTAATTTACTAAATTGAATAAAAATTTTCAACCACGGAGATCTTGGAATTTTTCAACCTATCAATAGACAAGATATGGGGGACCGCGGTAGCCGAGTGGTTAGCATGAGAGACTCTCACGCCGCGGTCGTGGGTTCGATTCCCACCGTCGCCACTGGCCCTTTTTTCCCGATAACCCCCAAATTGAACACACAAGAATTCGTACTATGGCTAATATGCAAGATCATAAGGCCAATAAAAAAAAGATATGATATAAAAAGATATGAATCGTGGAGTTGGTAATATATAAAAAAATTATTTTTGAAACAGAAGTCAATGTATAGGTTGTTAAATTTTAAACCAAAATTCCTGAGCATGAAGACCAAGTTGAGAAAAGCGTTATTGAAGTAACGTTCTTTGTTCTCTAACTAACTTTACTTAATGTTTAAAACATTATTTTAAAAGAGTAGTATTCATTAGGATATTTTATCTCATATAATTTACGAATCCGAGCCATCAAGGAAAAGTAATTGAATTGAAACTGATTTATTTTGAATTATCCTTCGGTTTTTAAAATTTTCAACAAACAAAAATAAGACGTTAATCGTCAATGTTTAAAACCATGGAAAACTATACAACACATTGAATATTTGGAGAAATATAACTTACAATTAGTTAATTGTTAAGTTTTGAATATATATTTACTTCTCTCATGCTTATCTCATTGGGGAAGTAATTTCTATGCAGGTCTTTGACCAGTCACATGTGGAAAAGACGATTCTTACTTTTATTCCAGAAAAAAAGAAATAAATGAGCAGCAGCTATAACAAACCATTTAATTTAAAACTTTAGGCAAGACTGTGTAACAAATTACTTTGCAAGAACTCGCAGATTTTACCGTACAACGTTCACAACCAACTTCAAGGGCGAGGAGAGTTGCGATTTAATTAACGACATTCGTCATGAAAAGATTAATATTATGAAAACACCGTGATAAAGAGTCTGTGTGACTTATCCGTCCTCTTCAGAATTTTGTGAAGACACGGCTCTTCCTTTCACCCATGTAAAGAAAATATGGTCTTTTTGATATACTTTGTTGAAAAACTTTTGGCCCCAGTGTGAACTACCATTCAGAGTCCTTGGCTTCTTTCTATTTTAAAATCGTGCTTCAGTGGCAAAGGACCAAGTTTTGAGATCAGGATGGCCATTTTACCTTGTCACGTACAACGCGTGTTCAAAGGCGAAGCAAAAATCGCAAAATAATATATCGTAAAAAAAGAGAAAAAGTATTGATTAAAAATGAAATAGGGATATTAGAACTTTAATTAATTTAAACAATAAATATAACTGATTATGCAGAGATCGTGAGATGCGGTCTGGTGTGATGTAGGTTTCAGAAAAACATTTTCTTTATCGTGCCAATGTTTCGATCTATACTGAGATCATCTTCAGAGCTCAAAGTGTTTGTTTTCTGTGTAATTGTGCCATTCTTGCGTGTCGTGTTGAGAGTGCCTGAAGAAGATGTCAATATAGATCGAAACGTTGGCACGATAAAGAAAATGTTTTTCTGAAACCTACATCACACCAGACCGCATCTCACGATCTCTGAATAATCATCGATTAACGGTCACAATCACCACAAAAATAAATGTAACGAGCTACAAAACTGGTCTTGTTTACTCAGTTCAGATTTGTATTAGCGAGGTAATAATGGATATGCTCGTTCATTTGTGAACATAAATCAATGCATAAATAAACAATAGGAAGAGAAACATCAAATCGCAGCATTGAACTGAATGCAACTGAAAATTAACTGAATGCAAATAACCAGTAATTGTATTATACAGAAATTTATACCAGAAATTACATACTAAAAGTAGCTGGAACTCGTACCCGCTCAACACAAATAACTCAAGGTGCAGTGAAAGAAAAATGACTACAAACGAGACTGATGTAACACATGGAACAATAAGATATAAAATGATCAAGACGAAGGATAAATTCATTAGATAGTTTGGTCGAAAAGATAACAAGGATAATTGTTCGAATCAGTGACGTACAATCAAACGACGAATCCTCACATAAATATATTGGTGAAATACCTAAAAATTTGGAATCTCGGTCAATTAAAACAGAAAAGTATAACAAACGAAAACAATCAGTTATGACACAAACTGCGAAACACTGCTGATCGAAGGATCCAGCGAGAATAAGCCGATCAGGATATTCCAATCGGTCTAATTTATTTGTAATTAGCGAACAATTTAAATCTTTGTTGAACATAGCTAACATTGACATAAACTAACATAGCTGATATCACTCAATTGCAATAATTACAAAAAATTGCTTGTTGAATGCACCTTCTTATTTAGAAATCGCTCCTTCTTATAACTTTATCGGAATGGAATTCAATGTTCAATGGGTTTTAATTAAAACGCTGAATGTTTAATTTTTAAATTAATATTTATTTAAAGAAATGCAATTCAAATAGTACTGACATCTTCAAGAAGGTTCTGTAATATTTTTGGGATTTTTTTACGTACAACTTGTACATAATCAATTCATTAGTTTTCGTGGTCCAATTAATATCTTTCAATTAATTAAGGATTTTCAGTTGAGATAAAAAAGTCAATGTCACGAGCGGAATTCGAACCCACGATCTTCGGCTAAATACGCCGATACTCTACCACCTGAGCTATCGTGACTTCGATCCACTCGGACACTAACTTTCCATCTCAACCCCACCTTTTGAAAAATGGCGAAAAGGAGGGAAAATTCAAAAGGTGGGGTTGAGATGGGAAGTTAGTGTCCGAGTGGATCGAAGTCACGATAGCTCAGGTGGTAGAGTAGCGGCGTATCTAGCCGAAGGTCGTGGGTTCGAATCCCGCTCGTGACATTGACTTTTTTATCTCAACTAAAAAAATTATCTGTACATAATGTATATTGATCTATAGTTTCAAATAATAGAAAGCTTTCCCTGATTGATAAACTATTTTCAACAAAGTCTTCAATGAGTACCTCAGACAGAAGGATAAGAAGAAAGAGGGAACAATGGAACTCACTCATTGGACACCAACAATCCAAGAACCTCCTAACAAATTTCGGAAAGAAAGAAGTAATAGAATGTATCAAAGGAAATATGAAAAAACCTCTAACCCACAGGATCCTTAACAGGACACTGCGAACTAAACGGACATTTGAAAAAGATTGGTATAACACCAGACTGCACGTGCAGATTCTGAAGAGGCAGAGGAGACACCGATACACCTATTAACAAAGTATGATGCTTACGTAGAAGAACCACTGATGAAATAGGACTCACCGGTGTGCTAAAGACACAGAAGGGAGGATACAACAGCTCTTAAAGGCGCAGTGTTTATATTACACTAATACATCTATATCTTCAACAAAGTCCACTTTTGAACCGTTTGAACTTTATGAAAAATTTACATTGTATTACTTTCAGATTGTCCATTAATTATCCCTGTTCATTGAGCAGTTAAGCCTCATAAAGGAACTTAAGTTTTTATTCCATCTTTGCCTGAAAATAAAGTGAGTAAATGTGATCACCGGTTGCTGTTAGTGGGTTTATTATAGTACCTCCGCGCATTTCTTGTAACGATGGGTGATGTAGAAACATCTCTACTTGTATTATAATACTTATCAAAAGAGATATAGATTTGTTTTCAAATACCAGGAAAAACCAACGTTTTTAAGGCTTGTTTAAGCGCAGGATTTCAATTTTACAAGACAACTTTGCAAATAAGTGTATTCCTTCATTAATATTAATAATATTACTTATTTATGCAAATATTATTTAAAAAAAGTAAAAAACTCGCATACTTTCACGGAAACAAACGTCCCTAACCCCTGACCATAACTCTACCTACCCTAAATAACCTAACCTAACCTCTTCAAAATTGAACACGTCCCAAACCAAAGTAGTCAGAGCATGGCCATGCAAAATATTAACAAATAGAACAATAAATACACCACTCTTTTATCAAAAAACGTACAAATAAGTGTTTAAGAAGCGCATAATTTTTTAGAGATTGTTAGGGTAAGATCGGTTAATGGTTGTTATGAATCACACGATGATTTTCAACTATTTCATTCATGGTTGTTTTTATAACATTATGTTACAATTTTATGTTTTATTTATGTTTTATAATATATCGAAAAGGGTGGTATTTTTAAGAGATAATGTGTAATTTTATTTTCACACGTGTTTCTAGCGTGTACAAAGTAGATCAGAAAAATCCTAGAATGGGTTCAAGGTGTTATGCAATTGATATGCACATATCTGTGAATCATAGCACTTAACGAACGACAAATCCTTTTATTTTTAACGAAAAAAGGAGAAAACGCATCGCAAACATTATGTTCTGGGTGTTGCAATGAGCACGCAAATTTTTATATCTTAAGATTTAAATAATCAAAGTGAATAAATAATACGATCATTTTAAAAACTTTATTATAATTTTTTTATACTTGTTATGTTGCAATATATTGGTAATAAACAACAGTACAAAAATTGATAGTAATTATTGATTTGATCATAACTTTTATGAAATGATCATATTTTAATTGTGTTTGATTATTTGAATTATAAGCTATAAAATCTTACGTTCTCAATCTTTATGAAAGATCAGAATATGATGTTTGTAATGGGTTTTCTTTTCCCTTTTCTCAAAAAATACAAGGATTTGTCGTTGGTTCAAAGATATGGGCATAACAATTGCATAACACCTTGAATCTATTCCAGGTTTTTCTGATTTACCTTGAACACGCCGGACACACGTGTGAAAATAAAATTAAATTTTAGCTCTTACCAGGATATTTAAATTTCACAATTTTCGATGTCCTTTCATATTATAAAAAATAGTTTTGATATAAATAAAGGAAAGCCTTATACCATCGATTTGACATTGATGTATTTTTTATGAGAGTAGATAGTTCGTTATTGCACAGTTAGGTTAACATAAGAATGTGAAATGCATAATAATTCAGAGCCAACACAATTGACAACATGGTAAAATCAGAAATGCTCTGACCTTCACAGCTGGCTTGTAAAGTTTAGATCCTCTGATGCGTCCTAAAAAGAATATTTTAAATTATTAAAAAAATAGTTATTTATTGTTGTATATTACCGTAAGGTAGGGTGCGTATATACGATGAGCCTGCAGCATGAAGGTTAAGGTTAAAGGAGTCTTTATGACCTTACGCACCACAAGCAATATTGATCTATTGTGTTACCGACATTATTATCTAGAGCTCATCGTTAGAATTTTTGTCAGATTCCAAAGTGTGGCTGTGTAATTCTTCGAGGCTTTTCCTTTCCCAGGAGTAGGAATTACAGCTTGGAATTTAACCTTTGCATTTCTTAGCGAAGCTAACAATGGCAAATGATAAGGGAAACAACAGATCGTATAATAATAATATTCAGACATAGTCAACGATTTGATCACCGATCTGGCTGATATTTATTATCTCCCTTAAATGACTAACATATATCGAAATTAGTAGCCAGTTAGATTTTATTCGTTTAATTCAATGTTTATGAATGATTAGGTTTAACCTTATTCTTTAATAAATTGTAACTGTAGTTGAGATAAAAAAAAGTCAGCGTCACGAGCTGAATTGGAACCCACGACCATCGGCTGCTCTACCACTTGAGCTATCGTGACTTCGATCCTCTCGGACACTAACTTCCAATCTCAACCCCCACTTTTCGAATTTTCCCTCCTTTTTGCCATTTTTCAAATGTCGTGTAATCTATTTGATTCTCGGCGACAAATGAAATCACCACGGAGAGCTTTAGTGAAGTTATACTTCCTATTAAATTCACTAGTTTTATTGGTCCGCTTGACTAATTAATATCATATAATCAATGCTAATTAATTATGGATATTAATTGGTCAAGCGGACCACGAAAACTAGTGAACTTCTTCTTTAAGTTGTCAAAAACAATTCTTAACAAAAATCAAACCAGGGACAGGGAAAAACTATTGCGAATAAGCGTGAAACTTCTTCAATACAGACATAAATAAAATTAAATATTTAACCACTATTTAATTAAACAAATAAAACCATTATCACTTGTTATCACCCAGTCAAGTGGAAAATACAAACCAACAAAATACACGTTCCAACTGTGCTAGAAATGGTTATGTACGCATTTTTATAAAGATTTAATTTCCATTACAGGTTCGTACTCACCTGGAAAAAGCTACTTCTGCTAATAATCTTTAAACATTTGGTACATTCTTGTAAATATTCGTTTCAGTTCTTCTGGTAGAAGTAATGGACCTTGACATGGTTAATTGTTGTAAACATAATTTGTTTGTTAGATTTTATTCAATTTTTTATCATTTGCTACATTTGCGGGGCTTATTTGCACAAAATAAATCGTAGAGCGTCCCCAAACTGTGCCACCTGTGATTAACCAGAAACTATCAAGCATTTGATTTTAGAGTGTCTAGAATACGAGTCTACCAGAATAGACTTCCTTGAAAATCTGTACAACATAAAATAAATCAACAAACCGGTCAGCTGGGAGAGCCTACTTGCTCTTAACAGAGTGGACGTATACCAGGTCATATATTCCTTCTTACAAAATAGTAGCATCAACGTGTAAACGTGAAATCGTTAAGGTAGAGGTCGGTTCAATCCCCTTGGGGTTCAGCCCGGATGCGGAGCTGTCTTCGGGTAGGGCTCTCTAAACGCGCTGGGCACCCGGGATGTGGGGGGATGTGGACTTTTCCATAGGACAATGCGTCATCTTTTGTAAATGGTTTTTATCCACATCCTCCTGAAACACCCGTTTTATGAAGAACAGTAGCCTTTTAAATTGTGTAAAACTGTGGACGAGAGCCTCCCCGGGGATGGCTTTCTGCAGCCGGCAGAGATCCCCTCCTCAAAGGACGGCTATTAGCTTCCCGAGCGTTTGATCTGTAGTATTTATTGTAGTTAGTTGATAGTTAATTATTGCATCTGTTACTTGTTATTTATTTATTAGTTTGTGTCTTCAAATTGTTAGTTTTGTCAAAATGTAATTCGTTATTTGGTAGGTCTGCTCCTTTATTTATTTATGTTGTTGTTATCCTTTGCTGTTGTTGTTTTCGCACCGAATTTTTTATTATTCTTAGTACTTATTGTGTCGATCAATCTTTATTTCTCTCGTTACTTGTTATTTATTTATTGCTTTATGAATTTCAAGTCAGGTTAAAAAATGGAATTTGATATTTCATAGGTCCGTACTCTTGCTGAATGTTCCAAAACAAAGCAAAAAAAAAAAAATTAGCTCATAAATATTTGTTATGTTGCAAACCGAAGTGATAAGTGTAATGTAACCATTTTACCTGATCATCATACAATAAATACGTTTAGGATATTGTACTTAAATAAGAAAAATTGCAAATTCACTCGAACTTTTGTCATCATATACAGTCCAAACAATATATCATTTAAATGTAATCATCTGTGGCACTAGGGTATCCTGCACAAATTAAAGCGAATCCTTCCAAACGCCCTTTATTTAATCCTCCGCTCTTATCTAACAGAACGGTTCTGTCGGGTTCGATAATGATCAGATATCTCTGAATACCGTCCTCTGGCCGCGGGAGTACCGCAGGGCAGTGTGCTCAGACCATTCCTCTATATCCTTTAAACTGAAGATGTTCACACTAAACCTACCACCTTCCTTGCATCTCTTGCCGAAGTCACAGCGGTACTAACCTCCTGCTCGGTCCTCTAACCCTCATGCTGCGGTTGCTTCGGAAAATCTGTACAGACGTATTGCATATGTAGCAGATTGATGTGGACAATGGAAAAGGAAGATAAATAAAGCCAAGTGCGACCATGTCACGTTTAGACTCCGAAGCAAGTTTAACACTGTACTACAGTAATGTTTCTTTCCTCAAATCCGACTGCGTTCATTAGGTTCCAACTAGACTCGCGCTTGACAAGGAATCAGCATGCACGACTGAAACGACAAGACCTCAAGACCTAAACAGACACTACGGTCTGCTCTACAAACTTACGAACAGGACGGCAATCCAAGCTATCGATGGAAAACAAACTTACAATCTATAAAACGCTGCTACAACAAATTTGAACCTAAGGTATAAAGCTGTGCGGAACTGCTAAACCTTCCAACATCCAACGTCTCCAATCCTTTGTCAAAAGTCCTCAAGTCATAAATGCTCCCAATTATGCCGTAAGGTATAAAACTGCGGAACTGCTTAACCTTCCAAACCTTCCAATATCCAAAGTCTCCAATCCTTTGTCAAAAGTCCTCAAATCAGCCAAAAATGCTCCCAATTATGTCTCCAATACCTCCCTCCAAACGACCTTAAAATCCCATTTATCCAAAAATTAACTCCCCAAAATTAAGATTACCAAGTTCGACAATAATCTCCCCCATCACCCTGGCCTTGTCCAATAGAACCCATCCCTAAAATCCCATAAAGTGTCATTAGTGGAATGCCCCCACGACTTCCTTTCTGAGCAGTAGGTAGTGATTTGATAGCATTCATTCTTTCATATTTATCAGTTTTCTACAATTAATTTATATAAGTATTTTATTGTTATTCTTCATTTCACGTTTTCTCATTATTTTCGCTCATAATTATCTACAAAATTGCGGGTTTTATTGATCTCCGTGAGCACGCAAAAGTTTAAAAACAAAATCCAAAAACTTCATCTGGTGGCATATAATTGAATTATATATATTGAATTAGAAGTTTTCAGATATTATCTAAGATAGTTATGTTTTACTAGGGGTGTTTTTTAAACATAATTATCGTATATGTCTAGAATGAGTTAAACGAGGAGGTTTTGATAAACCCAAGATTTTTTATAGTGTTTAAAAATTTTCCACTCGGCGTTTAAAGTCTTCAGAAAATTAAACACCCACTAGATAAGATATATAAATCAATAATTTGATTTTTTACTTACTGTTTATACAAACGTTGTTTGTTGTTGTTTGTTCCAACTTTCTGGATTTATGTTCCGTTCTTAGTCGGCCTTGAAAGACAAACTTTGCCCGGGTAGCACGTTTGATCAACAAGTGAAAAAATCGTCCATATCATTGTTGACGCTTAACAAAATACAGAAAAAACTAGTAAAGATTTTTTTCTTGGATGGGTGAAGTTCATACAGATGACAATTAGGTCAGATATCATGGCTGGCGAACTTCAAACACTTATCTGCAATAATTTCCACAAAGAGACATTTTATTTAAACTAATTCCGAAGACAAAATTGATCAAAATTCCGTGGCCATTCCATCGTCTCTTCCATCGTTTCACTAATTAATCTTTCCTTCACACTGATTATTCTGAATTGAACCGGATAAAAAATCCTGACTAGATAAAACTCAGGAAATTCCATGATTAAACGATTATGGGATTATCGATTTTTGTGTCGATGAACTCATCGGAAACAAACATTCGTGAGTGAATGCTTGAATTTCCTGTCGAATGTTCCACCCACTAGGACCAAATTCACAGCAATAAAAAAAATTAAATTAAGAGCAAGATAAGCGTAGAAAACACGAAAAAGGAGAAATTTATAAATAAAGACTCAACACAGTAAAGACGGTAATCAATTTTTTTGTGATAATGAAATAAATAATCTTTATATTGATAGCTTCCCCTTTTTCTCCTTTCTGTCTTTTCCTGCCTTCCCCTTTCACTCACACACTTTCTCTCTCTCTCTCTCTCTCTCTCTCTCTCTCTCCTTTCTCTCTCCTCTCTCTCTCTCTCTCTCTCTCTATCTATCTCTCTCTCTCTTCTCTTCTCTTTGCTCTTTTCTCTTTTCTTCCAGGACAAACATAAGTTTGTGTGCTTTTAATACACACCCATTAAAAAGTCATATATCACTTTATAAATTAATTAATTTTTTCACGTTTTAAATTTACGTTTTTTACTTCGAAATTGTGTTCGTCAATTATTTACAAGGGGTAATTCCATTTTACAATTTATTGGTATGTTATCATTACTACGTTCTACCGTTTTTCAGCATTAAAACAGTTCTATTCAATAATTAATATCAAACCTGATATTTACTCTTCCATGCATTTATTGAAAAAATAAAAAATGGCCCATTATCTTCAGCCACTTTAACCGCGAGATAAATTTTCCGCAACCTAATTTCAGATTCTTATAAAAAACTTCTATCAATGAAAAACCAAAGTCGCCACATCGCTCGACGTCCTGACTATAAACAGGGAGAGGCAAAAAGCTCCTTCCATTTCATCTTCTAGTCTTGCCAGTGCCTACACTTGGCAAGATCTTTATAAAATGTTCCACTTTGCATCAATCATCTCCGTACGAGTCTTTTGGAAAAACGTTGTACAGATATCTTTCAATTAATTAATTGAAAGAACTTATTTGATCAAGCGGACCACGAAATATAATGGATTTAATAAGTAAAACGAAGTATATCTTCACTAAAGCTCTCC